TCTTAACTCAAATGGATGCGTACCTTCGTATGGAAGGAGCAAGATTTCCGACCGACGAGGAAAAAGTGATGTTTGTCTCGACATTTCTTCGAGGACCAGCTCTTGATTGGTTCGAACCCATCCTACGAGATCGACTGGAATGTTCAGAAGATGCACAAGACGTTCTTACCAAGGAGGTGTTTGGAAACTATGACGAGTTCAAGAGACGACTTGAGAGGACTCTGTTACGCGTTGGGTCCAACCGTAGTCGTCGATACTTAACGATGGTGGTTAGGGAAGGATCAAGGAGTCTTCTTGACTCTGTGTCGTTCACGAGCACGCGACGGTCTAACCGACCCGGGTCTCCTCTTCCTCGAGACAACGGCCTACCTGGCGAAGGGCTCTTCCTCGAACGACTTCTCGCGATATAATGGGGTCTCGCAAAGATACACGATAGGGGTGCTTCAGGTGAACAAGAACGATAACGACTAGGTCAGAGGCAACGCCTACTAGAGCTATACCGAAGTATACCACTAGTAGTAAGAAGTCTTACTGACCCCCAAAGTAAGTATCTTAGTAACAGTAGAATGATGGGATGAATTGAGCGCGCGTAAGGAAAGACTAGAACATGGTTGAGATTCTTCCTCCTTTTATGCCTTCTCCTGAATATACCATTTTGTATACCATCTTGTATACCATCATGGTCTTCCCTTGGGTCTTTCCAATGGTATACAAGTCACGTGATCTCTGAGTGCCTTATTATTATTATTATTATTATTCTTCCATTTTAGAGAGCGTTTTTCAGTCAGAGACTATGCACGCTCTGCCTACCACCTAGGCAGTAGGGCTTAGTAGCTAATATCTATATACAGGTGGGTTATGCTATAGACCAGTCAACAGTGGGAACCTTCTATGAGGGACAGAAATAGGGAATGAGAGACAGGCTGTAGTATAATGTAAGAATCAAATGTTAAGGAACAGTAGGTATAGGTGGATTTAACAAAGAAAAAGAAATGAGAGAAAGAACAGGAAAAAAAACACAAAGGGGAGTCAGGATAGGAGAGGTGGCTTAATAAGCATGATTAGATAATCTATGCTTAGTAAGCCTGGTTCTATGGGTTAGACTAGGTAGTAGGGTTCTTGCTTAATCATTAGCTCCTA